CATGCATTTGCATTTTTATGTTGAAGGCATTAATGTGTGTCTTATTGATGGGTATGCCTTTCATCATGCTGATAACAAAAGAAGGTAGTGCAATGATGCCTTGCTATATTGTAATAATAAGCACTTCAAAACAGCTTAACAGGTTGTGATGACTGTAAATGGGAAGAGTTGGCTAAGAGAGCACTCTGTAGCGACCTGGTCTCATGAAGAGACCAGGATCTGACCCTAGAGGCTGCAGAATGTGGTTTGCAAGACCCTGAGACTTTGGACCTCCTCCTTATTGGGGAGTACAAGCACAACAGTTCTGCTGGGCAGAGCAAGGTATGGTGCTGTCTTGGTCATGGAGAGAGGATGAAGTGTGGTCTGTTTTCTCACTTTCTGCTACTTTACTCCTGAAGCAGAGAGGCTATCCAGGTAACCCTGCACACTTTCCTAGGGAGAAAAGGCAGTGGAGGTTAGTGGTGAGGCTGCTCAGATGGGATGGGGCACAGGTTAGCACTGCAGATACTGTATTTCCTGAGGGTACTGGAGCTGGCTGTTTCAGTAGTGCTGAGTGTCTCGCACATGTGGTGTTGCAGTCACACTGCAGCACCATTATGCTGCCCTTTGATAACATGTTTGTGTGTATATGAAGAGTAGAGAGAAAATTGTTTGGAAACATGTTAGTGTTAGGGACCTTCCCGAATTCAGATCCGAGCTGTTGCTATCAGATTCTGCAGCTAGAAGTGTGGAACTAGCTAAATCTGCTGAAAATTCTGCTATCTTCACTAGAAGTCCAGTGAGACCACCTAATCTTGAGAGCCTGCCATCACCCTGTGATTATATCTTACATATTTGGCTGCTTCTGCGTGGAAGAAATACCTCCTGTCAGATTTGGCTTCAGTTCAGCTGCCGGTTCTCGCAAGGGCTAAATTTACATTTGAGTTCGAACATGCATGCAATGGGACAGAACCCCTGCCCATCCTTAATGCTGATTCAAAAGCAGGCTGCAAATCGCATGGCTTCGAGGGACCTCATGGCCAGCAAGAAGAAAGGGATAGCAATAAGGAGCAAAATACTAGTAAAAGAATAAAGCAAGCCATTTCTGCCTTGGAGTACAGCTGGTGATTATGAGGACTGAAGTGGTGCTGGTGAGAAGATCAGTTGCACCTCCTGGTGGCAAATTAAAAGAATAAATAAATAACAAAATGTCCAGCTCTGATGTTCATACATTTACTGTGCTATAATGAGTCTGGTCAGAATGACCTATAATAAGACAGCAGGATATCTTGGAGGAAAGAAAAATAAATACAACAAAAGCAAAATATTCAAGACTTAGAGCTCTGCACATAACTTCTGAATCAAAAATAGAGCCACCAGAAGTGGGAAGTTCCTTTTAAAAGCCACATTTCTAATTAAACCGTCTGAATACTCGTATTTTCAATGTATATGTTGCAAACCAAACCCAGGAAAATGCTTGTAGAAATGTGCTACACAATGGGCAGTATACGTTGTCCACCGTTTCACTCATGCTGAGGCATGTGCAAATATACCTGGAAATATTTAAGGCCAAGTTAGATGGAGCTTGGAGCAACCTGGTGTAGTGGAAGGTGTCCCTGCCTGTGGCAGGGGGTGGAACTGGATGAGCCTTAAGGTCTCTTCCAACCCAAACCATTCTAAGAAATAGAAGAGAGCAGGAAAACACTGGTTGCATTAGAAAATAATATGGCCCAGCAGCCCTGACATCCAAATTCCATGGATGGTGTTTAGCTCTCTGTTAGCTGCAGGCTTCCCATTTGTTTCTGGCTCCTGTGACTCAGTTTTACCAGGCACTTTGAAGCTGCAAGATGCCACTGTATGGAGTGCCATATAAGGTAATAGGTACCTCTGGAGCATGAATAACTCTAGGGACTCGTTGGAGTGTAGAGTCATATTCCTCTCACTGTGGGTGGCTTAATACTAACATGAAAGTACTTCGCTAATTTTGAAGCTATCACCTCAAAATGAAGTATGTGACTTGATTTTTTACAGATACTGCAGTCACTTTAAGAGCTGCACTGTTGAAACTCCCTTTGCTGACAGTTCTACTGAAAAGTGTTCTAATAAAATACCCTCCCCCCACACTGTTTTGGTCTTCCTAAACTTTTATGGGTCTCCAAGAAGTCAGAATGGGCTGGTAACTGTAATTTGGAAGTGTGACTTGGAAAACGTTTAATCCTAATTGTATAAAGCTTGTGTAGAGTGGGAAGGAATAGGCTGTAAGTTTTTCAATTGGATCATAGCTCATCAGTCAACTCAGTAGTGACCTTGCAAGCTCTGTAAGAAATTGTCTTACAGGATGCAAGCCTTTGTAAATGTAAATGAGACAAATGATTATGTAGATTTCTCTCTGGGTTTCACAGCTTGGGCTCACAAGTGTGATCAACTGAAACGTTAGTTGAATTATGTTGGTCCAGGGGCTTGATTCTCAGGATGTTTTAACCATGCTTGTAAACATGGTTACATTGGTAAGAGAAAAAGGGTTTTCCTATTATAACTTTATTTTGGGCACTGCCCTAAGCTCCATCTCATGCACAGCATTGTTTTATAAGCATATCTTTCAAGTAGAGACAAGGTCTTAAAGTCATTAACAAAGGAAAAGGGCGAGGTGGGCAAAATCTTATCTAATCCTGCCTGGAGAGTGTTGCTAAGGACTCCAGCAGTGGCACACACATGATGCTGGGCAGGGGCCTGGGAGTGTCTGTAAGTGCTTGGTAAAAGCCTGCTTAACTTGTGAACATAAAAGGGACAACTGAGTTGAAATTCCAGCTCAGTGCAAGGTCAGTTGGAATCTACTGAGAAGCAATAGGTCAACAAATGTGAGAGGTAGCTCAAAACTGGCTGGAGCACGCGGCTTGTTTTAAGCTTGATAACAAACCTTGGTTTCTGGAAGGTAAGTACAGCTTCTGCAAGCTTCTGGAAGCTGGGGTACACAGGGGATATTCTCATAAGGAGGGAACATGCATGCTTTAGAGAAAAGAAAAAGGTTCATGAGCCTCCACTGTGTGGAACATTCCAAGCTGTGTTCAAAGTCTTTGTGCCTGGTCCCTTGACCCCAGTGCAGCTGCCCTGACCACTATCTGCTGTGCGCAGTCCTGGGGTTGTGCACATACTGAGCACCACACACCCCAGCAGGCAGAGCTCAGCTTTCTTCAGCATAATGCAGGAAGGCTGTGCTAGTCCAACTCCATCCTGGTTAGCACTATTCATGACTTTTACTTTGGAAACTCCAGATACAAAATATGAAGACTTGCAGCGAGGATTTGGAGTCTCTCTGGTCCTTTACTTGATGCCGTGTGTACTCAGGGCAACCCCTGCCCAGAAGCAGCAGTAGTGCCGGAGTGACCTGTGTCAGAATGCTGTCGAAATCTTTGTCTGTGATCTTATGGTGAATGCACACCAGAAATATCCTTGAGGAAATTAATAATATTTTTCACCCATGATTTGTACTGTGTGCGGTGTAAAAATTGAATGAAAAAATTGTTGCATTCAACAGCTCCAGATATGTCCACCATGAAATGGAGAGAGGTTCTGCAGGAAAAAAAAAAGACTGCTTTTATTATGTATGAGCACAAGGTCACCTTCTCCAGTCTTCCCAGACAAACTTCATGCAGTTTATAGCTTCCAAGTGCCTGATTTTATAACGTTTATATTATTTTAGAGTACGTTTTGGGAATGCACTGCATTTGGAAAGTAGAAAACATATCTATATAGCTATATACTCTAGGGCGTATATATAGAAATTCAGTTGTTATGTTCTGGTAGTGAGAACTTGCATTTGTAATAGCACCCATGGTGGTCATAACAACTTATGCAGTTTTGATTCAGCCATGATATCGATACTAACATGCAGCCAACATGTCCCAGCTTCACTCTCCTAAGAAGGACTGCTCTCTCTGCACCATGCTCTTTATACAGCGCATGGTGTACTCACCGTGCTGTTTGTAGAGCATGGTGAGTACAAGGTCATGTAGGGACAGTACAAGGGGGAGTGGCTTTAAACTGGAAGAGGGAAGACTGAGATTAGACATTAAGCAGAAGTTCTTCCTTGTTACCTTGTGGCACTGGCACAGGTTACCCAGAGAAGCTGTGGCTGCCCCATCCCTGGAAGTGTTCGAGGCCAGGTTGGACAGGACTTGAAGCAGCCTGGTCTAGTGGTAGGTGTTCTTGCCTGTGGCAGAGGGTTGGAACTGGATGAGCTTTAAGGTCACTTCCAACCCAAACCAGTCTGGGATTCTGTTTTGCATACTCCGTGCCATCCACTACAAGCACAATAACTGATAATGTGAATATCAGTCTTAAATACAGCATATGCTGAAAAAAATAACTCTTTGCAGACTAATTAGCAGGAGAATTGAATAGCAAGGCTTTTGCAGTAAAAATCAGTTTCTGCGTTTACAGCTGATAATTAAATTTGCCAAATTAAGAGTGATAATTACATGTGTCTAGCATCATGCTAATTTCCCAAATACCCTAAGTCAGCTTCTCTGAAACCTTACAAGCCAATCATACTTATAAAACAGCAGGACTGGCTGATGCCTTATATAGTCTATTTAAGGTCATTGTTATGCTCTGATGTTTTTGTTTTGTTCTTTTTGAACAAATTGCACAGGCTGAAAGGAAACCTAGGGGTTCATTTCTATAATTGGTGACTGTTCTCTTCAACAGCATCACACTGACAGATGAGCAAGCTCTACAGGAGCCAAATCTTCTTAAATAATCAGTCAATTGGAAGTTACTAATTAAGATCTGAATTGATCCTGTCAAAGAAAGGTTGCTTTATGAGGTGGGCAGTTAGGATAAGTGGGACATAAAAAGGAAGGAGGGAACTCAGCAAGTTGGGAAAGGTTTTCTCCTGGGATTTGAATGAGTCAACAAAGTCACACTCTTATGAAAAAGATGGAGTGCAATGCTGAATACCAAAATGCATGAGGAAGAATGTAGCCCTCTTGATATATACAGTAATTTTCTGCTATTTTTAGCATGGAAAAACCTCAGCTGGACACCTCTGGCATTGCAGTTCAAGAGGATGTGGCCCAGTTGGAAAGAGCCCGAAGAGGAGCATTGAGCATAATTAGAGGTCTTGAATATGACCAAGGAGGTAAGAGCTAAGCGAGTTACATGGTTCAGCTTTTAGAAGAAAAAAATTAGGGCAATGCAGGGATAATCTTCAAGTATGCAGGGGATAGAATCAAGCTATAAAAAAGACAGAAATAGTCTTTCCAAAGAGCCCATGTTTTATTTGATAGGATGTTTTGGTCTTGCACTACAGGAAGAAAGATGTAGGTTAAAGAGTGGGGAAAGGCTTTCTAACAGTGCAGATAGTGAAATATTGGAGTTTCTGTCTTTGAAGGTCTTTAAAAACACATTAGATATATATGCATCACAAATGAAATAGGTATAGGTCATCCTGCCTGGAGCAGGTGGATAAACCAGATCATGAGGTATTTTCTTTCCCTGTTTTTCCATGATTCCACATTGAGGATATGCTCCCTTATGCATGTTTGGATCTGATCCATTAGTCTAATCTGAGAGTCAAATTCCAGGATAAGATTTTAAAATAAGGTTTGAAAAAAATTGGTGTGGTTTGGATTCCTACCTCCTTTCTTTGCCTTTTGGGAAGCTTGGCCTGTAAAAGTATTTCTCATTCAGACAAAGCCAGATGATTTTCTGTATGTTGGTATTTAAATCCTCTGGTTAAATCTGTGTTTCCCTGAAATGTTTCTGCCTGCTTCAACATGCCCTTGTACATTAAATTGCTATTTTACTGAATGAATCATGCTAAGAATATTCAACATATCAAGCTGGGTATAAAAAAGCCCAGTCAGAATGTGAACTAATCAACAGCAGCTTTTGCATTTCTTCTTTACACGCAAAAAGGACCATTTCCAGATCTCTCCACTGGCTATGGGTAACCCAGATATCTGAGTGAACAATAAACTGACCCAGCTAGCAGACAGCACCATGGGAAGCAGAGGTTTGGCAAAGACTGGCTGATGTAGCATGAAAACAACATAACATATTTTAAATGAATAAGGTAAAAAACATTGTAAATTCTGTTGATTCTTTCTTTTGACCCATGCATAGTGTCTCTTCTGTTTACTTCATCCATGCTCTCTGTTGTCTACACTTTTGGATCTCCCTGTTGGCTACTTCAACTGTTTCTCTGTTGGCTTTTTATGTCTCAGCAGTACTTGTGCCCTCTTGCTCAACTGGTTTCTTCAAAGAGCCTTTCCATCTTTCCTCTTGTTTTACCTCAAGAACAAGGAGCAAGTTAAATTGGGGTTAGGAAGTCAAGCAACTACACTTGAATGTGAGCCAAAAGTCTCCACAGCTGAAATGTGCCTGTCTTCTGTGTAGCAGCCAAGGGAGCAGGGCATTAACACAGGAGCCTGGTGTACTATTACTTAGTCTAAAGGACTGAAGCTCACATTACTTGGAGGTGTACCTTCTGCACAAGAAAAGAAAGAGAGCGGAGTTTTCCCCCTTGCCCTTCTTCAAGAGAATTTAATTGCAGGTGTCTTGATTCACTGTGTAAAGAACATCTGGGGAATGCCTTGAGACCACATAGCCCTGGAGGCAGGTGTGCTTTGCTAAGACCCACCCTGTAGAAGCCCCTCTGTGATTTTTTGCCCAGTCACTTTCAGTGCTCTCTGCAATTCCATAAAGCTGGTTTGCTTGCTTTTATTCTGTCCTTTGCAGACATCCCTGTGCTATAAATGCTTCCCTTTCCTCTTTTATCATTCTATACTCCTTGCTTGCAACAGCTTTTCATTTCCTTATCCGTTATTATTCCAGTTTGTGAAATCCCCTTTTTCCTGTTAGCAGTTGCCTTGTATATTCCTCCTGTGGGGTGTTCTGGTGACACACACCTCAAAGCTGAGAGATGTACCTACCAGCACCTATGTGGTGTTCAGGTATCTCCTTTGGCTTTTGCATCTAGGGAGCATGGAGCATACCTCTCACTCTTTCAGGGCTTGGGACAAGGCATTCTTCCATCCCTTGCCTGCTGATTCCTTCACACAGGTGTGCTTGTTTTCTGACCACTTGTTTTTCCCTTAAGCCTCTGCACTCTTGGGGTGGTATGTCAGTGCTGCTGCTATCTGTGACTAAGAGTCAGGCCCTGTTTGGTCACGGCAAGGCGAGCAGATAGAACTAGCTGCCTGATCACAGCCACTCTGCCTAAACACAAAGGCTGGCCTGTGAGCCTGTCTGACTGCCTGTCACTGACTGACTAGAACCTCACCAGCTGCTTGGGGCTATTGGGTGGTGCTTTGAACCCTCACTGTGGAGGAGTGCCCAGGTCCTGCTTCCTGATGGTTCTTGCTCCAGCTTGTCCTACACCTGTAGCACAGGATTCCTGGCCTCAGAGAGTACTTCTGTCCTCCATCAGCCTGCTGTCCCTCCAGCCATAGCCTGTTCTGATCTTAATAGAACTGGGTTCTGTACATGGATGGCACCCAACTACCTACAGGGTGGTTAAGTTCTCCTGATGTTCAGCAGGGAGACATCAGCTTAAAGAGTGAACTTCCTTGGCACTGTGACATGTCAGAAAACACACTGGGGTGTGCTTCTCCTCTGCCAGCAATGCAGAGACAAAGCACCTCGGGAGCCATGACTGTCTTCATTCTTGCAGCGCTCAGTATTGACATCAGCAGCATGACCTATGCTAAAGTTGGCATGAAAAATATTTGTCTGTCTTTTCAAATTAAGTGTCTCTGGCCTGTTTTCTGTTGCAGCAGTAACACGTGACATTGGCATGGCCAGTTCTGCCACTTCCCTGTGGGACTGGAGCCTCTGCCAGCATCCCAAAATCAGCCACCACGCTGCCAGTGCTCCAACCTGCAGGGCCTCCAGAGCACAGTGGAGGGACTGCCTGGCTCTGTACAAGGTTTTCAGTGCTCCCCAGGACAGTCTCTTGGTAGCTGGAGGAAAGATGAGGACACCTTGGAAAAGTGTCTGGGATGTCTCCTGAAGACTATGTCTCCAAGTCATGAAGTCCAGGTTGCTGTTTGGTTCCAGGGCAGTACTGGACTGCTACACTTGGGTCCTGGAAATCCCGATCTCATCCTTTAGCCTCAGTTCTCACTAATGAAATATCTATTTAACCCACTATTAGATATTCCATTATCAGTATTATTTTATCTCTTTTAAAAAGTCTCTTTCCACTTTGTAATTTAAATCCATTCAAAACAACATTTTCAGTATGAAATATCCTGACATTTCAGGACAAAATATTTTGACTTCTGTGGTAAAATTATTTCTCAAAAATTTGTGAAGGATTTTCCTTGCTCAAAACTTGCTGTTGAACAGCCTTTCTGTTCAACAGTTCTCCTTCTCTACTGCTGGGCAAACAAACTAGACATGGTCAAGCTTTAAGTCTGGGTGGGTTCTAGCGTCTTGACTTCTGCAGATGTTTGCCTAAAGCTGTAAGTGATTCAAGAAAAGCACCTGTCTTTGTGAAGCAGAGTGTGTCTTCACCTGCTTATTGACCCACAGTCTTCCAGAATATAGCTCCTTTCTCATTTTTCTTTAGGTGTCTTCCAGCCCTACTGTGTTTTTCATTTAATCTCCTTCAGCAGTGTGACTAAGGACGTCTTGAGGGTTAGTCTGCAACATGGCCAGTTCGAGTTGATAATTTCTGGGAATCATACAGCTGGCCTCATATTTTTAAGTTTCCCTTTACCCCATAATATTTTTCCCTTCGAATGGCTTAAGGAAATGCACACAAACTAAAATCTGCATGTGATTTTACTTGGAAGGCTTAGCAAGTGACATTGATCTGGTTTTAGTCTGTTTCTACAACAAGAAGGTTATTCTGAATTCTGTACGTAACTTCACTTACATATGCAAAAGGAAAGATATTGGACAATTAATATTTCAGCTAGAAAGCAATATGTTCTAAGCAGAACATCACATTTATGGACTTTTCCCTTGCTTCCATCCAGATCCTCCTTTAATGAAGGAATGGCCTTGGTGGTCACTGCTTCAGCTTGGGCTGCGCAGTTCAGGCAACTCTAACTCTGATCTTGGACTCCCATGGTTGCTCAACTTTACTCACATACTGATGTCAATAGGATTATATATGAGGTTAAATTAGATTAATAAGTGTTTGCTAAATTTAGCTTTGGATTATGCACACTACTGGAAAGTACATGAACAATATTGTTGTGGGTAGCTGGAGTCACAACTGAGTCACCGCGCTAGATGAAATAGGAGGAGCATCTGTTAATAGAAGGTGCTCTAACTTGGAATAAAATAAAACATAAAGGTCTAGTTTTTCATCTCTTCAGCGTATCCAGGCCCACTGGCTTCTAATTAAACTTAATTTTCTTCACACAGCTGCAGGTATCAGTCACAGTTCCATGGGCACCTGGGTGTTAATGCTCGTCATGTGTGCTGGCCTCTACCTGACAGATCGTAGGGGAGTCATGTGCCTGTTTGCTAACTCCCAGCTCTGCAGCCAGGGAAATCAAAGCTTTCCTTTCATCAGGAAGTAAGTATACTTTGCTTATCCATATCTATAAATCTAAGAATTTTAAGTAGTTGCTCTGTTTCTTAGTTGATCAGGTTTGTGCTGCTCTGTGAATCTGAACCAAAACTTGCAACTGCTTTTTGTTTTCATCCACAGAGACACTCAGCTTGGCTATTCCTCTTACAGATAACAGAGAAAAACTCTGCCTATTTAAAGTCAGCATTAAAGGCTTGTTGGCTTCAATGAATCAAGAAAGTTTGTGTATTAAAGGATTTTCCAGGCTGTTCAGGGCCTTCAGAAGTGTTTTTAGTTATCATGTAACTAAGTTGGCTTTTAATGTAGGCTGTTGTAAGATGAGGGAGGAGGTTGAGCAATGTGTGAAATGTGGTTTATTTGTACTCTCAGAAAAGCCTCAAAATAGCAATTTGTGGTGTGGATGTGAAGTGTGAAGAGGTTATCTGGCTGACCTGGGGTAACACAGGGCATCTGCAGCACGACTAAGAAACAGTCCCCTGTTTTCCGGTGCAATGCTGCCCCTAGTGAAACCACAGTGAACCCTTAAGTGATCAAATTTTTATGTACCTTTCTCTCCTTTTTGTCTGAGTTCTTGCAGGCTACTGTCACCTTATTCAAGGGGTATTCACTACCTCTTGACCAGTGATTTATTAAGATGGCATTAACTAATCCAAGAGCTACAGAGAACTGCTCAAACTAGCAACTACTTTCTTTTTGAATGTAAGTTAATTGGAGTCATGCAAGACTATGGTAACAATGTGAGGGTCTATGGCTTAATCGTGTAGATGTTGTGCCTCTACTACCTTTTTCTAGGTTTGCTATACCTTATTGCTTGAAAGACTGGTAGGAAGCTGAGTTCCCAAAATGGCAGGGTTGGGTTGTTGTTGCACACAGATCTGAATGTGCCCTATAGGCAATACCATTTTGTACCTTCTGAGAATGTAGACAGCAAGACTTGTGGAAAGAAAACTGTAGGACAGAGAGAAAACGGATAATCTTCAGCTGAGTAAACAAAGTGCATGTCTGGGATACAAACTCAAATTTCTTCCCTCTTTCATTGTGAACTTTCATTGTAATGTGGTCTGAGAAACTTGGCTGATGGCTCTGTCATGGACTGTATTGGTCATCTTGCCTTTCTACTGCTCTTTATTAGTCTTCCAAGTGGGAGCTATAGCACCCTGAAATATGATCTCCACATGGTAGGACAGAAATTAATGGTAAAAATGAGTCTCCAAGTGATTTGCACCATTTTGTGTTTTTTTTCTTTTTCCCCCATAGGAATTCATACACTCAAAAGTGATGCGTTTGATTTTAAATGCTAATTAATGCAAAAAGCAGACTCTGAATCTCAGGTGTAAAAGGTATCCAAATGAGTATATTCAACAAGAACTTTACCACCTTTCTCCTCAGTATGGTTTCAGACTAGCCTTAAATTGAAAGAGAGGCCCTGTAACTTGCCTACAGAAGCATCACAAGGAGGCAGCCACAGAAGGGATGGAGGTGCGAACCCTGGGATGGTCTGTAATATAGTTGTCAGATTCTGGTTTCCCTCATTAACCTTTGA